AATTTTCAATATTATAGTGCTCTGTTAGCATTAATAATACAGCCTGGCCTCTCTATAACAATATCACTATTTAACAACCACTCACTATAAAAGTCAAGTTTCTTTTGGAACCAGTTTCCACGCTATATTATAATATAAGTTCTTTATAACAACACTTCACTATAACAACCAAAAAAGATCTAGAACAAACGAGGATGTTATAAAGAGGTTTTACTGTATTTCTATATGTTGGACTTAAGGATTATATATAACACTAAGGGGTCCTTTGGTTTGAACACAAGTTATAATGGGATTAGTCAAACTGGAATTAGTTATGATGTGATTAGTTTTCCTGACATTATCTCTTATTGACTGTTTGATATGTTGTATTAATCATGTGATTGTCAATTTTACTGCTTTATCTTGGAATTACTATTCCACCGTCTTGCGGGTATAAGTTATCACGAAACTATTTTTAATCATGAGATAACTTATCTCAGTAAGACGATTTTAAATTTTTGTCCCAAGATAATTTTTTCTTATCCATCATACCAAACGATCCCTAAGAGTTATCTAATAATGTACTTTAATAATTACATCTCTAATATACGAAGAGTCTTTTTGGTAAATTTTAATCTTCTAGTTAGTATCACCATTACGAATTTTCAGTTTTCATTATTTTTTATCTTTTACAAGATCTGCACGAATTAACAAAGTCAAAAAAAAAAATCATGTGCATTTGCAGATAGTAAAAGTTAGTGTAGATTCTTAAACTTATGAGACTGACAAAACTACTTAATTGCTTATCTTTGAAGTGAAGGAAGTGACAATCATTAATTTGGTTTTAGTTTTCCTTATATAAAAGACAATCATTAGTTCTTTTATAGTTCAGTATTGGTTATTTCTTTAATTATTTTATGTTCGTTGAGAAATTTTACTTTGCTCATGATTGATTATTATTAATGAATAATATTAGCACTCAACCAAATAATTTTAGCATAAAGAATCAATGAGAAAATAGAGACAACGGTTTAAGCCATTACGTATAGGCACTTTCCACTTATAACAAATTGCTCTCTCTATACATTACTCCAAAAACAATTTGTTACCAACCTATCATATAATTTTGGAAAATTGTGGGTTGCTTCGAATATTGACTTGTTTAAATGATAATTAATCTAATTAATTTGTAACGCTGGACTAGATTTGGAATTAGAGATCTATCTAAATTATTATATTGTTGTTAAAAGTTATTAAAATTAAAGGGAGGAGTATTTTAGAAGGAAGATATTCAAAGAGTACAATCTAAGTTATGTTAAAAGTGCAAGTAAAAAAGAAAAATGAAAAAGTAGCCTATTTCTTATTCCCCTTTTTCCTTTTAAATAAAGAAACACTAGTAGTAAATATTGACAGAAGGGATACAGTTATATTTAATTGAATCCAATATAATACGACAAAGAAATTATTAACTTATAGTTTTAAAAATATAATATATAAGTACTAATAACCTTAAAATTAAACTGTTCAAATTTAAATCCTGAATATGCTTCTAAATATGAATAGCCAAGTATAAACGCAAAGTATAATATACACATATAGCCAATCATTGAAGTATATTTATTTAGAAACAAACCGATTTGTTGAAAATGATTTTTATTTGAATTAACAAAAATTTAAAAGGCAGGTTTAGTTAATCTGTTGCCATTTACCGTACATCCTTTTGTCATTTAGTAACGGCAGTTATACTTTTTAACCTGTTCGATTTTTTCTCCAAAAGCTCCACGCGACAGGAAACATTTCTACAACACTCGCCTTCTTAATTGGTGCATACAACGTCAAGCAATCTGCGTGTAATGATATTATTGGTCCGTGAGTTTTACATGCTCGTATCATGCGGAAGTCAAATTCGATAAGTGAAATAACAAAGTGAAGGCGTCTTAATGTCAAAAATAACGGCCGTTACAGATGAGGCAATTGACGCGCTTTAGCTTTTCCAAAATTGGCAATAATTACGGGCGAACATCTACGTTAAGGATCCGCAATTTAATCGTTGAAAAAGAACAGAAACAATTCGAATTCGATGTAAAACAATTCAAAATTGGACAACTTATTTTGAAATATATTTTTTTGAATCATTTTGAAATAAATTTTGTTGAATTGAGGATATATTAGAAATAGTCCCTCTACCGTATAAAGATAGAGGTAAGTTTTGTGTACAATCAATAGTGTACGTAGAAAATTTTATAAACAGTGTTACCATTTGAAAGAGTAGGCAAATGAATAAATTACGATAATAATAAACGATGTCATTTTATATTTTTAGTCCATATTTTCAGTTTCATATTATCTGACATATTTTTTTAATTAAAAATTGACGAAATGTGACGTTGCTTGCGACAAAGTGCCTACCCCCTGTGTACAACTTCTCTTTCTCTAAACTTCACTTATAGAATTAAGCGGAATATCACTACTAGAAAATCAGCCAAAATCAACCGCAATAAATCGATCGACTTCGATCGGTCAAAAAACTGACTGAATAACCGACTGAAGTCGATCAGTATAATTTTTTTTTACGTACATGACCAACTTTGGTCGGATTTTTTGGCGCAAAATGCGGGAAACTATTTTGGCGTCCCACGAATTTTTTTTTTAAGAAACCGATCAGCTTTGGTTAGTTTTTCATATAAAATAAATTAAAATTAATATTAAAAAACCGACCGAAATTGGTCGGTTATTTCAGTCGGTCATTTTAAAAAACCAAGTTTGGTCGATAATTTTATATTTTTAATAAAATCGACAGAAATCAATAGGTTATTTTCGCGCAAAAATGCAATTAAAGAGTATAAATAAAATAAAAGATAGTCTTAAACTAAAACATACCAATTGTCTAGTGGTAGAATAATATCCTGCCACAGTACAGATCCCGTTTCGGTTCCTACACGGTGCATTTTTTAATTGCATAATTAAAATACCGACCGATTTCGGTCGGGTTTTTCGGTAGATTTTTTCGTTTTTGGTCGCATATGAAATTTTATTAACCGAACCATATCGGTCGGAAATTGCGACCGACTTCAGTCGGTATTTATTACCGACCATCCTAATTTCGACGAATTAAAGTCGGTCGAAAATCGATCGATTTTTCTCCTTTTTCAACCTGTTTTGATCGATATTTCTAGACGATTTTAGGCAGTTTTGTAATGTATGCTATTGTTGTATTTTTAAGGAATTTTTACCTCCTATAGCAAAGGTTAACACCTTATTTATTTTAAATAAATACCATTGAAAAAAATTATATTCTATAGATACCTTTTAAGGTTTATAGCAAAATATTTATTTTGGTTACCTCCTAGCCCTAAGCCACTAAATACGCTAATCAGTTACACTATTTTCTTTCTCTCTCTACTTTGATACATCTCATTCTCTTCCCCCATCCCATTAAAATTTCGATCTCCTCCTCCTTCCAGCGGATTTGTGCAAAGCCCACTTCAGAAATTGCTCCGCCTCCCGCATCCGACGACTGCAACGGCATATTCCTACAGTACGTTTTCACTTCCGGATCCAAAATCAAACACTTCAGGATCGAAAATCAAACACTTCTGGGACCCATAATGACTCTGGCGAAAAGGAATTTTTACTGAATTTCGAGGACGAGTTAGGGAAATTATGGACTTTTAGATATTCATATTGGAATAGTAGTCAAAGTTATGTATTAACTAAAGGATGGAGTCGTTTTGTGAAGGAGAAAAAATTAGACGCTGGTGATTTTGTTTTGTTCGAGCGCCACCGGTTAGACGCTGAGCGTACATTTATTGGGTGGAGGAGGAGGAACGTCGCCGCTGGAGCCACCGTTTTGGAGCAAGAAAGTGGGGTTAGACGGCGACCGTCACTGTCGTTTTCCTGCTTCTAATGTTGTTCTTGTTGATGTATTTTTCATGTATTTTATTGTATTCGTTGTCTTTTTTGTTTTATTGTAATTCAATATATCTCGTTGTATTCCATGTATTTCATTGTATTCACAGTCTTTTTTTTCTCATTGTATTTCAATGTATCCCACTGTATTCTATGTATTTCATTGTATTCACTATCTCGCTATATGGCATGAATGTATTCATAAGTTTTTTTTAATTAATGTAATTTATGTATTCAGATGTATTATATAATTTCTCTGAAGATTGCTATATTTTTGGGGTATTTTTCGGTTGAGAATCTTTTTTATAACTGAAAATACAAATTTTGTGTGTTATAATTGAGTTTGTTGAGTTATATTAGGAGTCTATCGTGTTAATTGATTCACTTTCCCTTTTAAAAACAGTGTAATCCCCTATTTCACGCCGTGAATACAGTCGAATACAATAATCCGTCTAGCTGTAATTCCATGTTTCACTCCATGAATACAGTCGAATACACTCGAATACAACAACTAATTAGCTGAACTTCCCTGATTCACGCCTATTTTTGCTACTGTATTGATGAATACAATAACTTAAATACATCAAATACATCTTATAACCACATAAAAGGTATCTATAATCCGTAATATAGCAAATGGTATCTATAGATGGCTAATTACTACAAAAAGATAGTACTTTACGAAAATTTCCCAATTTTTTAAAATGAAACAATGGGAGTATAACCCCAAAAAAAAAAAAAAAAAAAAAAAAAACGGTGGGAGAGGAGAGGGACCGGTGTGCACAAATGAGAAGAGAGGGAGAGGAGACTTAAAGAAGACGACGGTGGTCAGCTGAGATTGGTAAAAAAGTACAGCTAGCAATGAATAAGAGCCTCACCTACCCAGCACCTTCCTTTTCTCTTCTTCCCTTTTTTAGCTTTCTTCATTTTCATTTCTATTAAATTTCACTCATATATAAACCCTTTCCTCTTCTCTAAATTCTTTCTCTTCTCAGCTTTTCTCTTCAGGTACACTTCATTCATTCACACTACCTATACTGTTGTTTTTACTTTTTCGTTGGGTTCAAGCCCCGAAAATAGCCTCTTGCAGAAATATAGGTTAAGACTGCGCACTATAAACATGGCCTTTTCCCGAATCCGGCGCATAGCGGAAGTTTTAGTGCACCGGAGTGTTTTTTTTTTGTTCTATTTGAGTCCGCTGTTTAGTTTTGCTGGTTCTGTTTATTCACTCCTCAGAAATGTTCTGTTTTTTTTTTTTTGTAAAATTGAGTATCCCTCTTATCCTTTCCTAAAATTTTTCTACTCCTTTAAAACTCGGTTTGCTTCACGAGAGACATGGAAGAGCCGGAGGCGGAGCCAGAATTTAAAGCTCATGAGTTTAAGATTTGAACGAATTTTTTCTCACAAATATATGGTTTAAGGCTACGTTTATCCATAATTTTTTTCCTTATTTAAAAGAAAAACTCTAAAATGTGTTTGTCCGCGAAATTACTAAGTTTTTAGAACAAAATTAGAAAATGAGTTTTTCCAAATTTAAAATTTTCATAACCGACATTTTTTCAAATGAAATGCATGTTCAAATTAGGAATTATGCATTATTTGAGCACATTTTGCCCGAAAATTATACTAAGTCGTATAGAAAATTATACATTACTTTTATACATTATACACATATACACTGTGTAATTTTGAACAACCTTGAAATTTTTTTTGGCTTTGCCGCTATCTATATACGCTATATAATATTTTGACAAATGGTGGTCAAATGCTATAGCTCCGCCCCTGGTTCTTTGTCCTTTTATGTAGTTTGATACTTATATTTGAGACCCCTGTTTAGTTGCTGGTACTTGTTTTTCTCCTCTTGTGCTTTCAGAGTGTTTCTTAGGTATTTTTCTACTTATGTTTAAAATTGAGCGAAGCTAAAACAATGTTAAGTATTTCTGTTACCCTTCCCTAATACTTGTTTTTTTTTTAAACTTGTTTTGCTTTAAACGAGCCAATATACTTTATGTTTCAGAGACTTCTATGCATAAAGTTTCAATTTTTATTCTGCTATTGCATTTTTTTAATGTGTTCCTAACATTTTTTTCTTGATATATTCCAGGGGAATGTTCTTTAGTGGAGTGAATTTTTAAGAAATTTTGATAACTTAGAATTTTTCTGCATTTTGGGGCTCTGCGACTTCCTGGATTTCTTAAGAGGTATGGTTTTGAATTTGCATTTGCTTTTTTGAATTTTCTTCGATTTATTCAAGTATTATCAGTTCATCCTCATTTTCAGTAGTGTGCTTGTTCATTCTCACACCAGCTTATTTGTTTATTTTCTAGTTTTTATTTTTATTTTTACCAAATGTAAATTAATTTGGGAAAGTACAAGTAGTATCCCAGTTTGGGAATCTTTTATATGCTTTTCTTTTAAGTTACAAGAATCCAAAAAGAATTTTCAACCTTTTCTGCTAAAATGGGCCACGCTCCCCTTTGTGCTGGCTAGCATCATTGTGACAACATTGCTCCAGCTTGAAGCTATGTTGGGGCTGATGGTGGCCCCTACCCTTCACCGCATGTTTACGCCACTAACTCGTCTCCTTTTATGTGAAGGTGTTTGATGGTGCAATGTTTAAGAAAAAAACATTTTTGGAACTTATGTCTTAATATATTGGTGAGTATAAATTCATGTCATTAAGGGTAAAACACAATATGCTTGCGCTAGTGAATTCTCGGTCCGTTTTATGTGAAGGTTTTTGATGGTGTAATGTTTAAGAAAAAAAATATATTTTTGGAAATTGTGATCTTAAATATGCCATAATATTAAAATGAGAAGTTTAAGTTAAAATGTTTCTGAATATCAAAAAGGTCAATTTTTGGAACATACTGAAAAAGGAGTGTCACATAAAATGTAGCAGAGGGAGTACCGCTCATCTTCTTACTGTATAATGTTTATATGCATTCCAGTTTCACCTTCATTGCTATAAAGTATAGGATAATTGGAAGATGATGAATTGTTATGTAGGCATTCATTATTCATCGTATTGTTTTATTTTTTACAGGTAACAGCTATAGTTTAGAGGAAAAAAGAGTATATAGCATGGGGTCAAATTTAGTGGATGAGATAGATTGTGCCAGTTTCTTTGACCATATGGATGATTTGATTGAATTTTCCCAAGAAAATGAGTGTGGTGACCTTGACTCTACTGATTGCAAGAATTTTCCCAGCATTTGCAACGACCCCTTGCCGGATTCCGACTCACTTTTCTTTGGCAGTCACAGAAATTCACCTTCCGACTTCTCAGCCGAGCTCTTAGTTCCTGTGAGTGCAGCAACTTCACTGTGATTTCTTAAATTTGCTATCTTGATTGTGGGACATTTGAATGCTAAGCGATATTAATCAAAATTTAAAAATTGTGCATTATAAATTTAAGCAACTGTCATGGACCTGTTGTATGCGAATGTCTTGTCACGCGATTGGTTGCTATCATTTTTCTGAGCATTTGACTACCAGCTGGTGTTCGGGCCAGCTTGCACGCATACGTTTTTTGTTAAAATGCTTCTAGTTTTAACTAATTATCGTGATTGTTCCGTTCGTGATTATGCTGAGAATTTTTAATGGTGCTAGCTCATATGCTTGAATATTTATCTTAAATGCATGGTAATGGTAGGTTGGATTTTCAAATTTCTGTTCAAAATCTTGCTACAAGTGCAGTCAGTTCAATCATTTGGAGCTTTTAGAATCTGATGATTTTGTCCACACATTCTACTGATAACGACTTGTTGATAAGTTTTTAGTTCAAATTTCACTTTTAAATTCAAACCTTCTATTATGAGGGTATTTACCTTCTGATGGGTATTTGCAAAATGATACTTTGTCTTCCTATTTAATGCTCAAAAGAGTGTCCTTATAGTAGGCAAAGTCAGTCAATTTCTCTTCAGTCCATTGGCACTTGCACATGGATGTCGTAAAGGTTGGTGGGTGTCTGAGGGACCATCATAATAAATGAGCTGGTACTAGCTTGCAATAATAAGTCACTTTAACTAACTCTTGAAAATCTTGTCATGATTGAAAACTAGGTGTATCAATTAGGTGCTGTTTAGTGTCCTAATCTTGATTAGGCGTTAAAACGGATCATCAGACATGAATTCGTATGTTGTCCTTCAACTAATTACTACGACAACAACAACAAACCCAATGTAATCCCACAAGTGGGGTTTGGAGAGGGTAGTGAGTACGCTGACCTTACCCCTATCTTGTGAAGGTAGAGAGGCTGTTTCGATAGACCCTCGGCTCAAGAAATAGTGACAAGGAACCTTCAACTAATTACTCTTGTCGTTTATAATTTGGTGATGCCTATGCAGTTTCATTGCTTACTTCATAAAAACTCTTAATGATATCATTTTCTCTTCTGTATTTGTAGTACGAGGATATAGTTCAACTCGAATGGCTTTCAACATTTGTGGAGGATTCCTTCTCTTGTGGCGGATTGACAATGGGGAAAGAACATTTTCCTGTCAACAAGGAGCCATCTCATAGCAAATTCCTGTCCTCAAGTCCTGTTTCTGTGCTTGAGAGCAGCAGCAGCAGCTCATCAAGCTCGGGGGCGGGGAAAACGACTCCTCCTCTTAGTCCATGCCGTCGTGGTACACAACGTGCTCGGAGCAAGCGTCCTCGCCCTGCGGCTTTTAATCCTCGGCCAGTAAGTCAACTCATGTCTCCAACATCATCCTTCACCGAGATTCACCAGCAATTTGTTGCGCCTGAAGATACATTGGAATCTGACAATTTCGGGGAGTCTCCAATGAAGAAAAAGAGAATCAAATTTTCCATTCCTCTAGTTCCAGTCGACACGAATCAGAATTACCAGCGGGCACTACAAACAGTTAGGAAATGCATGCATTGTGAGATAACAAAGACGCCTCAATGGAGGGCAGGTCCAATGGGACCAAAAACCCTCTGCAACGCGTGTGGCGTTCGCTACAAGAAAGGTCGACTCTTCCCTGAGTACCGCCCTGCTGCAGCCCCCACATTTGTTCCATCCTTGCACTCTAACTCTCACAAGAAGGTCTTGGAAATGAGAAGCAACGTCTTCCCCGAGGATACACACGACAAGCAGGCTGCGCCATGCTCAATCCGTCCCCTAAGCCCTGGCCCGCCTGAGAGCAATGCCACAGCTGGTACTTCAATCGCGCAATCAGATTTCAACCCTGAGTAACAAGAATGCAGAGAATAGTTTTTCCTAGTCTTTTCATCTCCTCTGCCTTGCCATTTCAGTTCTTAGTTTAATTTGCTTACTGTTTTTATCATTGCTTTGTTCATTGGTTCTTTGTACAAAGATGTAAGGAAGGTAGGGGGAATAGAGAAATAGATGACCATATTTTAGGTGATAGCTAGGGACGAAAGGGTTAGATAGAAATGGAGTTTCAGGCTAGGCAGCTGTAGTGTTATTTAGGAACAGATTCGGAGTCAGTGTTAGAGATCTTTTTGTTAGACTTATTGCTATTTCTTTTTTCCATCTTTACAATATGGGAATTCTTTTTGCAGTTACTATAATTTGTTTTTAGCATATTCTTGAATGAGTTATGGTTTGAAGTATGTCTTCTAATGCTTTTTCCTCACATCAATAATCTGGGACTACATATTAATTAATCATAATTAAGTAAAAAGAAAGTTTAGGTGCAACACATATGGCTGTCATGTATTTATTATAAATACAAAGGCGACTAAGTTCTTAATATGTCCCTTCAGCCCACAAAGTAAATAACCAAGTGCCGAACTTGTTATTGAATTTATAGCTAGCTTTAATTACCGGTTCACAATATATTTTTAAATGATATTTCAAATTTTGAAATAGACAGTTAAATTAGACAACATGATATGTCTATCTTTTTTTAAAAGGATATTTTCTATTATATTGATCAAAAAAAGAGACTGCCCCCCCCCGACCCCGAAAAAAAAAACCCAAAGAAAAAAGGAGACAATAAGAATTACACACACGTCTCTATTAGACGAAAAACTCACTTGGTACAACTAAATTATAAAATTACTAACAACTTGGGATTAATTTCATATATGTCACATAATTTTAGCCGTTATAACTACAAAATCACAAAACTATTTTTATCACGTTATAAGATGTAAAATACTTTAACGACTTTATTGTTATAATATATAAAGTTTAGCTATTTAGATGCTATTATCATAGTAAAATAATTCCGACTACCTTTAGCGACTTTACTGTTACAATCGATAAAATGTGACTTCACATTTTTTCTTTCACTTGACTTGTGGAATGTGACGAATGGACGCCTTCACCATTCTCTTTGCATGGTAGGAATTACTGCAGCTCAAGGCTTTGATTAGCCAACATAACCCCTTGCCTTTGCCTTTATTATTACTTCTATTATTTACCTTCACTTTCTCATCATTTCTTCTTAAGGGTGAAGATGATGAAACTTTATTACAACTCTATCTGTTCTTGAGGTCTGTTAGTTCCATCTCTTGTGATATTGATCTTGATATTCCAGTCAAAAATAAGTACCATCTCTTGCTCTTACCTTGGAAAACATGTGATATTGTCCCCTCTTTTTTTTTTCCTTGTGTTTGATGCACTTTTGAGGACTATGTGAGATGGGTTTTTCTTGAGGAATGAAAAAAAGGCAGTTCGGTGCATAAAGCATCGCGCAGTCACGCAGGGTTTGGGGAAGGATGCAAGTTTTAGCGGCTGATTTCACGGCTCGTACCCATGATCTATAGGTTACACGAAGACAACTTTACCATTGCTCCAAGGAGGAATGAATTGTCAATCACGCGAGTAAAACTATGAATATACACTAATCTATCTCTAAGTTGTTAAATTATTTATCAGGTAAAAAAAAATTAACTTGTTGAATTCCATCTTTTTCTTCCACTTGATGATACTAAGAGATGTTTATAAATTCATCTGAAAGAGAGTCTTGAGTCTATTTGGATGTATGATAACTTTTCAAGTGCTTATTTGAATAAATAATGTGAAAAGAAAATGAAATCTCGAGATTTAAGAACATTTTGTTAATCAATGCGCGAGTAAAACTATGAATATCCACTAATATGTCTCTAAGTTATTCATAGTTTAGGGCAACCATAACTTTTGTTTTGGTTGCCATATTATGAAGTTTAAAGTCATGAAGGCAAAAAGATAACATAGAGGAAAGACTCGTACGCATCTATGAGTGTAGCAATGTGCATAAATTGAAACAAAAAGAGTACATAATACCCTTTACTATACACATATAATATCTTAAGTTTACCCCTTGGTATACATTGAATCGTTCATATTATAATTCTTTTTGTCAAACAAATTATCTTATGTGCTTAACCTTAAAGGAAATATAGCGTAAAATGAATGAATTTTGCATGTCAAATACTTCGTGAAAACGATTAAGATTTGTCCATCTGATTTCGATTGTGCTTTATAATTACTCTTCACTAGTTGATTACCTAGGTTAGGATCCACTCTGGAGCTTAGAATTAAAAGTAAATATAATATAATTTGCTAACAATAAGTATATGAGTGATTTCAAAGTATAAAAATGATATAATTAAAATATTTGATGAATTAAATACAAATCCTTGTAATTAACTACATTTGGATATACAACTTTGTATTTAAAATCAAATACTTGCACCATTATACTATAGAAATTTAACACAAATATTTTATTACTAGAGCTAGGGGTGTTCATAAATACCCGAGAAACCGAACCAAACCGAAAATCAAACCAAACCGGCCAAAAAAACCGATACTTTTTGGTTTGGTTTGGTTTTGGTTTTGAATTTTAAAAACCGATCAAATTTGGTTTGGTTTCAGTTTTAATCAGAAAAAACCGAACCAAACCAACTATAGGAGTAGCTATTTCAAATTTATTATTACACACACAT